ACGCATCAAAACCACAACGATAGTTTGTCAAATAGACTCCGTTTTAACCTTCACAAGGACCGGGCGTAGCCACACTCGGTTCAACTAAAGTGAGAGAGACAGACACCCGCCAGCCACCTTTAAGCACGAGTGCTCGTAACGGTGAAACCAGTCTCGCGTAAGCGTACGCGTAATGTCGGTCCGGGCCGCTTCATCTCACAATACCGCTGAACCAAAGTATGACATGCTGGTAGGCAGTATGACTTATATCGTCCACAACTCACTTGTGTTCTACTCGTGCATATAACATCAACACATAAAACCTGGCTCGGATGCCACTGTTGGGGAACGTAGTAATTTCAAAAAAATTCCTACGCACACGCAAGATCATGGTGATGATATAGCAATGAGGGGAGAGTGTTGTCTACGTACCCTCGTAGACCGAAGCGGAAGCGTTGACGCAACATAGAGGAAGTAGTCGTACGTCCTCCGGTTCAACCGATCCAAGTACCGTTACTCCGGCACCTCCGAGTTCTTGACACGCGTACAGCTCGATGACGCACCCTCGATCTCCGATCCAGCAGAGGCGCCGAGGGGGAGTTCCGTCAGCACGACGGCGTGGTGACGATCTTGATGTTCTCCTGTTGCAGGGCTTCACCTAAGCACCGCTACAATATGACCGAGGTGTAATATCGTGGAGGGGGGCACCGCACACGGCTAAGGAACGATCAATGATCAACTTGTGTCTTCTAGGGTGCCCCCTTACCCCCGTATATAAAGGAGGGAGGGAGGAGGTGGCCGGCCCTAGGGGGGGCGCGCCATGAGTAGGGGGAAACCTACTCCAAGTAGGTTTCCCTCTCTTTTCCTTATCTTATTTGAAGGGGGAAGGAAAGAGTACTAGTATTAGGAAGTAGTACTAGTAGTAGTAATAGGAAGAGGGGGAAGGAGAAAGGAAAGGGGGGGGCCGCCCCCACTCCCCAATTCGGATTGGGCTTGGGGGGGCGCGCCCCCCTCCCTTGCTCCTTCTCTCTTCCTCCTACATGGGCCCAATAAGGCCCATATACCTCCCGGGGGGTTCCGGTAACCTCCCGGGGCTCCAAACTTCTCCGGAACCTTTCCGGTGTCCAAATATATCCGTCCAATATATCAACCTTTATGTCTCGACCATTTCGAGACTCCTCGTCATGTCCGTAATCATATCCGGGACTCCGAACAACCTTCGGTACATCAAAATACATAAACTCATAATATAACTGTCATCGAAACCTTAAGCGTGCGGACCCTACGGTTCGAGAACGATGTAGACATGACTGAGACACATCTCTGGTCAATAACCAATAGCGGGACCTAGATGCCCATATTGGTTCCCACATATTCTACGAAGATCTTTATCGGTCAAACCGCATAACAACATACGTTGTTCCCTTTGTCATCGGTATGTTAATTGTCCGAGATTCGATCGTCGGTATCCAATACCTAGTTCAATCTCGTTATCGACAAGTCTCTTTACTCGTTCTGTAATACTTCATCTTATAACTAACTCATTAGTTACATGCTTGCAAGGCTTAGGTGATGAGCATTGCCGAGAGGGCCCAGAGATACCTCTCCGACAATCGGAGTGACAAAACCTAATCTCGAATTATGCTAACTCAACATATACCTTCGGAGACACCTGTAGTACTCCTTTATAATCACCCAGTTACGTTGTGACGTTTGGTAGTACCCAAAGTGTTCCTCCGGTAAACGGGAGTTACACAATTCTCATAGTTACAGGAACATGTATAAGTCATGAAGGAAGCAATAGCAGAATACTAAACGATCAAGTGCTAAGCTAACGGGATGGGTCATGTCAATCACCTCATTCTCCTAATGATGTGATCCCATTAATCAAATGACAACACATGTCAATGGTTAGGAAACATAACCATCTTTGATTAATGAGCTAGTCAAGTAGAGGCATACTAGTGACTGTATGTTTGTCTATGTATTCACACATGTATCATGTTTCCGGTTAATACAATTCTAGCATGAATAATAAACATTTATCATGATATGAGGAAATAAATAATAACTTTATTATTGCCTCTAGGGCATATTTCCTTCAGAGGCCTTCCAGGAGCCCCACAAGCTCGGGGGCATGCCCCCCAGGCTTGTGGCTTCTTGGTGGGTCCCCTCCTGGTGTTTCTTCAGCCATTATGAATAACTATCTCTATTGTAGCCCTTTCCGGTCCAGAATTCCACCTGTCGGCAATCTCCCTCTTCATGTGTAACTTGCAAAATAAGAGAGAAAAGGCATAAGAATTGTATCATAAAGTGAAATAATGACCCAAAACATAATAAATAATAGTAGGAAATCATGATGCAAAATGGACGTATCACCCACTACCTATCAAGGTAAGTCATCGAGAAGGGGGGGGGCGCAATAGCGTCTAGGTCCAAGATCATTGGGAGTGTCTGATTCTTTAACAATCCTAGCCTCCCTAGCCTTGGGAAATACTCTTGCAACAAGAGATGAGCTAGTGCCTGGTTTTTCAAGAATTTTTGCAATCTATCACTGATCTCCCAACTAAGCATCATTAGTCCAACATTGGTGAACCCACATGAGGCACACCTACACTTTTGCAGTCAGTGCTTATCAAGACACAACTACTTTGAAATATATGAAAGGCTCATAATGATCTTCTCTTCAACAAAAAAGTTTGGCCTCCCTTGCAGGTTTTATATGCTATGTCTGTTCTCCAAAGTTGCATGTCTTGTAGCATTTGTTGGTGCAACTTACAAGTTACACCCCTTTAACATTGATAGGTGGCTTCTGTTTTGCAATCTAAATGTCCAGGATTATATGTTGTGGCTCTGGTTGTGAAGGCTCTGGATGAAATAACGTTTCTCATATTATAAACCTTTGGCCGATGTTGCAAAAGTAAGGAATCTCCTTGCTAGTCTAGGGCATTGGAAATGAGGCTCTTTCTGGCAAACTTCTTCAATGCATCTTCTACCCTACGTGTAATACTCCCTCTGTCCCAAAATGTAAGAGGTTTCTTGACACTATGATAGTGTCAAATAACGTGTTACATTTTGAGACAGATGGAGTAACAGTTTAGTCCACAATCATAGGAATCTAAATATGACATGGAATCCTCTTGCATGAATGATTTTGAAAATCGAGGTTGGGACTTCCTTTGCAACAAACATGCTCGAAACTATAAGCCAAAGTTGGCTCTTGAGGCTGCTATATGTACTTTGTTTTGGATTAGCCTGACAAAGTAGCCCTCTTTTAGACGACTTTAGTTTCCCAATCCTCTATTCTTAAATAGCTGCAACCCACTACTTATTTTCCTCTTCATGCAACTATGCCACATCATCAAGTCAGGCATGTGGTCACAAGTTACAATTTGTGCACCAATCTATCCATGCAACCATGCCACCTCAACAGTCATGCATGTTAATTAGTTTCACTATTTTGTGTGTGTGCATAGCAGTGACACTTGGAGAAAATGTATGTAGGTCATGTTACACATTTTTGTTATGTAGGCACCACGTTGACTTCAATCCAATCGTTTTTATTCTCTTTGTATACAACATTTGATCACATGCTTCATATGTTTTATTGTTTTTAAAATATAAACTGAGAGAAATCTTAAATTTGTTCTTGCAATAGTTTTAGTTTTTAGCACATATGCATCTGTTGCATCAAGGTTCATGCAGCAACGCGCGGGGCATCATCTAGTTTCTTTTGCCTTGATCACCTTCAGTGTGAGCGGCTTCTTGTACGTTTGAAGATATGAATTCATCCGCAGGCCACGCCCACTTCCCATTTATTATTTTTGACTAGTCCCTACAAGCATCCAACAACGTGTGCCCTACACCCTTGGCCGTTGGGATGTTGCGTTCTTTGTTGTTCTTATCGAAACAATTGACACGCCTCTTAATGTGAGATGTAGTGGCCTCTACCACCTGTGAGGTCGACGCTATCTAGAGCAAAGAGTTGTCCTCGTTGTTCAAATAATCTTATCGATAAACTCCACCAGACGTGGCTGCGTAGCACCATCCTACACCCTTTTCATCTTTACCCTCCTTACCATTGGTGCAAGGCACACCAATTTTTTCGACGATGCGTGTGACGTCAAAACACCACTCTTCTCAAAAGCGAATATGGCCTCCATCGAGTATGCTCCATATAGACGGAACATGCACTACAAACAACCCTCATAGCTCAAGCATGATCCGCACCTCCAGAGTCTCAACCATAATGTTTTTTTTTGCGGGGTGTCTCAACCATAATGTTGGCCCTAAGGGCAATGTGGGAAGCGACAACGAATTAGTATGAGCAGAAGGCTATTATGAGTGTCAAAAAAACTCTTCGCTAATACTCGGATTATGCTTTCTGTTTCTTAGTCTTGTACTCCCTCCGTCTCAAAAAGCTTGTTGGCAAGCTTTTTTGGTCGAAGGTAATATAAAAAAACCATCAAAATTACTTCCAACCTTAAAAGTTGTTGGTCACTTATGCCTTTGTTCTTTGTCTCCCCACTTTCTCTCTACGAGACTACCATGTCAAAATCCCACATAGTCGTGCTTTACTTACAAGTGATGTCAACGTGCTCCCTGCGACGCCACGCCATCCCAGGCGCAAAACGCCACGACGGCCGACGGCGTACCCACCGCCGACGACGACTTTACGTTACCGGACGTCGCTGACAGACAGCGGCGACGTTACTGGTCAGGTTAAAAAAGTCAAAGCGAGGTCAGGTCAGAAACGCCCACCTGCAGTGTCAAGCCCCCTCACCAACCCGTTCGCTCACCGGGGACGCCACCCCCCTCCCACCGCCAGGCGGGCCCCGCGCGTCATCCTCCCCACCCACCTTCTCCCCCGCCGCGCCGGTATATTTAACCCCCGCTCCCAAATTCCTCCCTCCCCAGGAGCCGGAGCAGAGCACGCCCGCCCACGGGATCCCGGCCCCCCCATTTCTCGCCCCCACGCCACCAGTTCCGTCCGCCCGGAGGCACGCCGGCGGCGAGATCCCATGGGCTCCGTGGCGGCGGACGCGCCGGAGGCGCCGGTGGCGACGGAGACGGTGTTCCGGTCCAGGCTCCCGGACATCGAGATCCCGGCGCACCTCACGCTCCAGGACTACTGCTTCGAGCGGCTGCCGGAGGTGGCCGCCCGGCCCTGCCTCATCGACGGGCAGACGGGCGCCGTGCACACCTACGCGGAGGTGTCCTTGCTCTCCCGGCGGTGCGCGGCGGGCCTGCGGCGGCTCGGCGTGGGGAAGGGCGACGTGGTCATGAACCTGCTCCGCAACTGCCCGGAGTTCGCCTTCGTGTTCCTCGGCGCGGCCCGGCTGGGCGCCGCCACCACCACGGCCAACCCGTTCTGCACGCCGCACGAGATCCACCGCCAGGCGAGCGCGGCCGGGGCGCGGCTGATCGTCACCGAGGCCTGCGCCGTCGACAAGGTGCGCGCCTTCGCCGCCGAGCGCGGGATCTCCGTGGTCACCGTCGACGGCCCGGCCTCCGACGACGGCTGCCTCGCGTTCAACGACACGCTGCTGCCCGCGGAGCCGCTCGCCGCCGACGAGCAGGTCGACCCCGACGACGTGGTGGCCCTCCCCTACTCGTCCGGCACCACGGGGCTGCCCAAGGGCGTCATGCTCACCCACCGCAGCCTCGTCACCAGCGTCGCGCAGCAGGTCAGCTCAGCCTCAGCTCACTCCCCGCTACGCTTCCGCCTCCATTGCCACTGGCTGGACCGAGCCGCGGATCCTTCGGGGCCAGGGGAGCTTCCAATTTACGTTTCTCGTGGCCTCGCTTTACGCTTTCCAGCTCGGGAAGTTCTTTTCCGCATCACGCGCCTCTCCGTCGGCGGCTCGGCGCCGGAGCCAAGCGACCGACCAATTACTCCCCTGCTTAAAATAACGCCGCGCCATTTATTACTCGGATCGGATCGGATTGGACAGGGCGACGTGACCCACGCAGGGCCCACCAATCAGCGCCAAGATTCGCACCCACGCACGATCACATTTTTCAATTCAAACTTTGTCGACGCAAAAAAAAGAAAAGTTCATATTGACGGGGAGAACCCGAACTTGCACGATCACGTTTTCAATTCAATTTTTTGATGCAAAAATGGTTCAAATTTGTTGAACATTTGGTTTCTGATTTTTGTGTGCGTGCGTGCAGGTGGACGGTGAGAACCCGAACTTGTACTTCGGCGCGTCGGACGTGTTGCTGTGCGTGCTGCCGCTGTTCCACATCTACTCGCTCAACTCGGTGCTGCTGGCGGGGCTGCGGGCCGGGTGCGCGATCGTGATCATGCGCAAGTTCGACCACGGCGCGCTGGTGAGCCTGGTGCGCGCGCACGGGGTCACCGTGGCGCCCTTCGTGCCACCGATCGTCGTCGAGATCGCCAAGAGCGACCGGGTCACCGCCGCCGACCTCGCGTCCATCCGCATGGTCATGTCCGGCGCCGCGCCCATGGGCAAGGACCTCCAGGACGCCTTCATGGCCAAGATCCCCAACGCCGTGCTCGGGCAGGTTCGTCGCGCACCGGCCCCGCTCTCACACTTCGAATCCATATCCAATGATTGCTTGCTTGGCTATCAGGCACGCCAGCCACTGTGCACTAGCCTAGGTACAGTAGTGTACATACATAACTGTATGGAGTGTTTTGGAGGGCGAGTGAACCTCAGAAGATCGACGGTTGTTGGGGCATCGGGGAAGCGATTGGGATGGGTTGGCTCGCGGTGGCCGGGCGCGCGAGCCAAGGTCGCAGTTTTGGTGGGTGGGTGGCATGGTGGCGTCGTGCTTTTGGGTGCGGGATATGGCGACCGACATCCCAACCTTGACGCTTCGTGACGGCTTCGTCTGAACTGAAGCGAGCGCACGCCACCCCCATGATCCGGGGACGCGGGGCGGGTTGCCGTCCCCGCAAGCCAGAGTTTTGTTGGTTGCCAACAAGCTGCTTCTCATCAGGCTTTTTGGGTGGACAAGTCACTCTCACTCTCGCCACGGATTCATCTCGGCCGTCTGAATCTTTTTGACTTAAAAAAACTGCACATCACATGGCTTGGACTGAAATTGTAGCGTGTTGATCGCCAGCAGAGCGTGGTGACTGCGAGCTGATGATGATGATCACTCTGTTTTGCAACGCGTCTGTGTGCAGGGGTACGGGATGACGGAGGCCGGGCCGGTGCTGTCCATGTGCCTGGCGTTCGCCAAGGAGCCGTTCGGTGTCAAGTCGGGGTCGTGCGGCACGGTGGTGCGGAACGCGGAGCTCAAGATCGTGGACCCCGACACGGGCGCCTCCCTCGGCCGCAACCTGCCGGGGGAGATCTGCATCCGCGGCAACCAGATCATGAAAGGTACGTACGTCACGTGCCGGCGCATTCTTGAGCAAAATGTCCAACCAAAAATAGCACAGCGCCACCACGTTTGGTCACCGCCCAGGAGTGGCGACGACGTGATCCACTGTTCCATGACTAGTTAGTTGATTAGGTGAGCGAGTGGTTTGCGACTAGTCGCAGGGTAGCTCATGAGTAGACGCTGTGGTAGTAGTACTGCTGGTTAGGTGATCGGTTCCGACTGCTCCGTCTCCAGCTCCGGAGCTCAAATTATTGGCCGCGACTACAGCAACTTCACCCGTTTCTGACAGCACTTTCGGGCTGATAGATAAGTAGGAGGAGTAGCACGTATCGAACATGCTGCATTTCCAGCAGTTCAGTCACCTGCACGCATGTGTGCCCATGTTCCGTCCCCCTCTGCTACTACGTTTGGCCACTAGCCAACGAAAGCACGACTAGGCTAATCTGAGTGCACGGACCAGAGCTTCTTCCACCTTCTGCTCACCTGACCAGATGCTCGGTGCACCGATCGGTCGGTCGGTCTCCAGTTAGGTGTAGTAGCTGGCGACCGGTGAGCCCGCTCCATCCAACCTAACACCCACGCAGCACTAGTAGGAGATGATTCCCTTCTGAAGCACGTCTCCTTGCAGTCCTCTGCAACTGTTGGCAAATCGTCGTCGGCTAGCCCGTCGATGGCGACGGCGTGCGTCAGTCGATGAGCCGGCGGCACCCCTTTGGCTTTAGCAGCAGCATGCGCATCCTGACTACTCTACCATCGGCCCATCGCCGTGCTAGCAGTCGTCGCACTCGCGCCTCACACGTCAATAATGGAGTGCGCTGAACTGAAGGATGAGGGCTGAGGCCATACGCATCCCTCAGGTTCAGATGTACTTGCACCGCTTGGGCATTGGCGACAAGGAACCAAGCCGGCAGATGCGCGGGTGTATCCAAAACCTGGCCTTGGCATCTTGCCGCATGTGTCGTCCAGAGCGTCAGCCACCATTTTCACCGAGTCTTCGGATGGCCGACCAGTTCATTTTCTTTGCTCTGCATTCAAGAGAAGCAGAGAGCTATGTTTGGGCTACCAGCCTTTGAGCCTGGCCCATCATGGGACCTACAGGACCCCACTTCGTCTAGTCAGTTTTACTGGACTAGAAAAGATAAGATCTTATCTTTCAGGAAGAAATGGGAGATTTTTGAGGTGCCGCCAATCGGACTGAATGTCCAGCATTTTTGTTCTAGCTAGACTAGAAGGCCGCGCAATCGCACGTCGAAGGTCCCGAATTAAGTTGCAGGCCACGATTGCGCTACATGTACATGGGGTTCCAGCAGTGCTACCAGGCCTCTGAGTAGTACCACAAAGAATCAAACTTGGCATCATCTTCTAGATGGCCCATGCATACTTTGTATAGCTTGCACTCATTGATGCAGCATGCTGGCCATGTGAAAGCATTTTCCCCAAGCACTCCATTCAGAATCCACAACAAACTCCCATATGCATGACCAGTTATCTTTGCTTGAAAGTCTATGCTATGCTCATCTTTCCGTGGGAAATGGCCAAGCTTAGGTCTATCATTAGTTAACATAAGAAAACAAAGCCTGCCTTTCTGCTCGTTTTTAATAGTTACAAGTAGTACCAAGTTGTTTGACCTAGCACATGTGGTGAGGTGGAGATGTTTAGACTTGGCGTATGGATACCTTATACCTTGTACTATGAGTGATTGGATACGTTGTGGCAACAGGCTGTCCTCTGGGCTGTAGCCACCCATGATTGCATACAACTGCACTCTGCACATGATGGCAACTGGATGGGAATACTGATGATTCCTAATTTTGTCCATTTCCTATCTATGCCCCTTCATGCTCTGAAACTAGTAAGGGCAGAAGCAGCATTTCCTCGCTTTACTAATACATGAGAGTTTGCAAACTTTAACCCAGCAAAACTATTTATTTTTTTGCTTCATGATCCCCATATTGATGTAACCCTTCATTACACGGAGTGCGGATTCTTCCTTCTGTTTGAAAACCATCTAAATACATCTAGAATTCGGATATGATCAGCATGTCACTTTCGCAGACAGCTGGATGCGTCTCCACTCTCCAGTGAGTACGACATTGAAGAATTATTCTTTTTTTTCAAAACAATATATGTACTCTCCCAAAAAGATACAAGTACAGCGTACTCTAGTTTGAAAATAAATGGATAAGAACTATTACCAGGTACTAGCATGTCTACCAAGTTTCAAACCTGAAGTTGAGATTCACTCCATTCACTAGTGTTCTTACCAAAGATTCTAGCTATTTTCACTTGGACTGTGTCTGTACTTCATACCGGCCGGACATGCTTAGCCATTAATACATTTATTTGCGGTATATAGAAAAATCTTAATACGCAAAAAGGTGCTCAGAGATATCAACTCATGTAAATGACCAAGCGTATGATTGCAGGTTATCTAAATGATCCGGAGGCCACAAAGAACACCATTGACAAGGACGGTTGGCTGCACACTGGAGACATTGGTTACGTCGATGATGACGACGAGATCTTCATTGTCGACAGGCTCAAGGAGATAATCAAATACAAGGGATTCCAAGTACCTCCTGCGGAACTTGAAGCCCTTCTCATTACACACGCCGAAATCAAAGATGCTGCTGTCGTATCGTAAGTTGATAGACTGTTCAAAGGGATTTAGGATCCATTTGGTTCATGTTCAAAAGTAGGTGATTAAATTTAGCTGGTATTCAATTTTTGCAGGATGCAAGATGAACTTACTGGTGAGATTCCAGTTGCATTCATTGTGCGGATTGAAGGCTCTGAGATAAGCGAGAGCGAGATCAAGCAGTTCGTTGCAAAAGAGGTAATAACGAGTCGCAGTGGCGGACCCAGAAATAAAATGCAGGGTGTGCACACTTTAAAAAATCAACATATATTTTCATTGGCTTGAATGGGCCTTAAAAATCAACTAATTATTACATGGTAAAAGAACATTTTTCAAAATTCTCGGTGTGCCATGGCACACCTGGCACACCCCCTAGGTACGCCACTGACGAGTCGTCCACTTTCCATATACTCAAGTATGACACACAAATAGAGAAACAGACAAAGTTGCCACAAACAGTACATTTTTAACAAAATTCTGAAGAGAGCATAATTTACAACATGTGATTTGTGAACTGTGAGGCATACCGGCCATCCAGCATGTTATTTTACAAGACTGAAGAGAGCATCAAATGTTTGCATTGGTTCCTGTATCTTCACCAATTCAGTGCAGATCTGAGAGTTCAAAAACCTAATAAATTGTGCATTGCTATTACAGGTTGTTTTCTACAAGAGGATCCACAAAGTTTTCTTCGCGGACTCGGTTCCGAAGAGTCCTGCCGGCAAGATCCTCAGGAAGGACCTGAGAGCAAAGCTTGCTGCAGGCATCCCAGGCAGTGGAAGCACACAGTCCAAAAGCTGAGCCCATCTTACACACACACACACACACACATACCTCTGTCCAAAGTGATGTAATGTTGTCGATGAAATGGCAATATTATTATTATTATTACATATAGAAGGGCTGGCTGGCACATGGTCGTCGATTCTTTCAATTAGATGGCTAAGTTATATGATTTGTTTGTTCGTTCGATGATGTGTATCATGTCATGTATAGATACCGAACACTTTTTGACAACAAAGGCTGATTATAATGTATACCGCTTATGATTTTATACCACAAGTTGAATTAAACTCATTTGTTCTAGTGGATCGGCCGTATAAGCAGTGTTGGACTGTTGGATGATGCCTGATCAAAACCAGTCCAGGAGAACTGAGTGAATTTCACTGGAATTAGTATGTTTATTGCGTGATGAGACAGTTTTGCAGGGATTTTTTCCCACTGGAATAAGTTCGCCTATTCTTGTGTTCGAAACAGGGCCTATGCATTTTTTGCAGGGCAACAATTTCGCTCTGAAAAGACACTTCATTCAGATGGCTGCTGTTCATAGTATCAACAGAGAAGAGGTTACATGGTTATTATTTTGCGAGTAGAACACTTGTACTATTCCTCAACAACTAACATGATTACAATCAGCTAAAGATAGCTCAACAGATTTTGGGGGTCCAGAACCCAACCAAGTCATAGTTCTACCTTCTGTTACCTCAAAAAAAAAAATTAGTTCTACCTTCTAAACAAGCACGCGCATAATTAGCTAAACAATTGCTTGACTTTATTCTGGGATCGACTGATATGAGTAATACTGGTTCCACGAAGGCTCATAAGGTGCTGGAGGAGGTTACACGGTCTATGAACAATACACGGAGAATACATACATACAGACACACTAATACATATTTTCTGGGGCAAATACGCTACTGCAGTACACACATTCACGTCACACTAGTTTTTTTTTTCCAGAGCAGTCTTCTCACACTAATAGCAACATAACCAAACAGAAGAGAAGCCCAAGAAGAAGTAGTCGCTCGGGCGTAGCCGGGCCGAGTGTCTCTTTCCGGCTCAAGAGCACTAGCTAGCTATCATCGGGAGCCCACCGTGGTGGTGTGGCCGGGCCGCCTACTTTGTGGAGGAGGAACGCTGCGGGTGCGGGCGGGAGAGCGACGGGTAGAGGCGGAAGAGGTTGCGGGCGGAGAGCGCGGAGAGGACGGCGGTGCCGGCGGCGGCGAGCCCGCCGCAGACGAGGCTCCCGGCGACCTGCTGGCAGAAGCGGGTGAAGATGTTGCAGACCTTGTTCCACTGCAGCGCCTGCGCGCCGTCCAGCGCGATCAGGCACGCCTGCGCCGCCGCCACCGTCGCCGCGAACGTCACGTACGCGCACCCCTGCACCGCGCAGACCAGGCACGTCGTCAGGCACATACAGTTAATCTTACGTGTTTTTCAGATCATAATACCAGTAGATTAACTCGATGAATGCTTTTTGACACTGTTAACACGGTAGTACTCCCTCCGTCCGGAAATACTTGTCATCAAAATGATCAAAAGTGGATGTATCTAGACATATATTAGTTCTAAATACATCTATTTTTTATCAATTTTGATGACAAGTATTTTCGGACGGAGGGAGTAGTAAGGTGTTTTTTTCCTTCTGAAAGACATTAGCAAGTTGAACAGTTAACCGACCGAAATATATCCTGGAATAATCACAGCTGACTCTTAAATTTGTATAAAAATGGTCAATGTTGCAAGCCATATCTCAGAAACCAAATGAACAAACCTCTCTTAAATTTGTGAGCTAACCCACCCACCTGTACGACTATGTGCTGCGGATTGAGTGGATGCAGTCTGCCTCATTTATTATTTGCGTTCTACTGTGTATGCCTAGGTTGATTTCGGGGCCTTTTCACAGAAGTTAGTAATAATTGTGTGTTTGCGTCTACTCCTATCATGAAAAATCAGAAGAGTTCTAGTGCTACAAGTTCATTGAGTGTTGCCGTGTTACGAATGCACGGTAACATCCTACAAAGTTGTGAATTTTTTTGGGAAACAATTGAGTGTGTCATTAAGAAATTTGTCTACAGCCCCATAAAATTTAGAAATCCAAATTAGTTTTAAATGGGAGAAGCAACAAAAGACAATTCTAGGTATATACACAGTATAAAAAAACAACGGATAAACTAAAATGTTAGACACTATTGATAACTAAAGTTGCATAGCTGGTTGCTCCAATCTTGACACAGACAACAAATATGCTATCTACAAGCAGTGTTCTAGAAAGAAACAATAAATAGGATGCTCCGCATCATCCCCGGACATGGTTCTAGACTGGACTGATTTATCCACAAACAGTGTTCTAGAAAGAGACAATAAACGCGCAGAGTATTTTGTATATAAAAGAAAATAGAGAGCTTGTAAAGTTTGATCAAATTTACAAATAAATAAGATTATCGACATGCATGGCACATGGAACTTGATTTATCTAAATCAATTAGAGTACACATAGTTGGACGATGGACATGCATGCATGTGCAGCACCAGTCACTTGGAACTTGAATGCGCCGATCTTTTCCGATGGGGAGCCAAAAATGATTTGGGATGGCCCTATACGTACGCATTGATGGAAGCATGAATGAAAAACAGCGGTGCAGCTGCAACAAATAACGCAGCACCGCAGCGCACTGTCCTGGTCTGATTTGCCAGTCCGGGAGGCCTGCCGTGAGCGGTGAGCCGTTGGTAGATGGCAACGGTGACGGCGAGAATGGAAGATGCCTGTTACCATTTGCAGTAGAATCGTTGTTATCACGACGGGACCGATCAAGATGATAGCTCAGTGCTAACTGTTTCGTGTTCATAGCCTCTGAAAACTGTTTCCTATTCCTGTCGCGGAATTGAAGGTTGTTTGTCCGGGCTCGGCTCGATCACACGTACAGATATCACGGTCGTACGTGCTAGCCAGCTAAGAAGAGCTCACCAGAGGGCGTGGACGTCCTTGACGGTGGTCTTCTTCCTGATGAGCAGCACCGTCTCCGTCTGCGTGTCCAGCCCCATGAGCAGCGCCGACGCCGTCGCCAGGGCGGCGCACGCGCCCCGCATCAGCCCCTCCGCCCTCACCTCCGACGGCCTCCTCCTCCCCGCCTGCGCCGCCGCGTCCATCGCGCTCAACCCAAGCCCGTGCTTAATCGTGACCTCAAGCTAGCTACTGGCAAGTGTTTGTCTCGTGTCTAGCGCACGCACGCCGTGGCCAGCTCGGGCGGGTCACGGGAGTTTTATAGGCGCCGTGCACGGCGAGAGGGCGAGTGGGAAGCGTCTGCTCTAGGGAGTGTGCGATAGCTAGGCGAGAGCATGTGCGCACGGTACGGCGGCGGGGCGACGTGGTCGATCGTGGAGGCGTGCGAGCGGTGATCGGTGTGTGGGTTTAATGCACTGCGCGGTTAACTTCTCTGACCGCCCAACCGATCGAGTGATCGACAGGCAAAACGACAGACAAGGCTCGGATGGGTCGTCAACTGAAATTGGACACTCATGGTGCTACATCCTGTCAACGAATTAGATCATGCAATTGCTTTTAGGACAAGGCTGGGATCGGCTAGGTGCAATTGCGCCGTAAGGGAGTATAATCAAATTTTTACTGCCTTTTAGCTTTTTATAAGGGATCGGTTAGAAATGCCCTTACCGCTCCAAACAAACTACATGTAGGAAGAAAGGGCATCGCTTGAAGTCGTCGGGGCCCTCAACCGTGAAAGAGGTGACGAAGCCGTGCACGACAAAACGGATGCTTCTAGGCGGCACATTCATGCTCCTTGGCGAGGCACTCCGCTTTTGCTGCGTTGGCCGCCTCCTCCTTGGTGAGCCGCTCGGACTCCTCAAGGCTGAGTCGCATGCCTTGCCATTTCTGCAGCGGTAGTTGCGGGTGCCCGTCTCCGCCGTGGTCAAGGAATGACGGATCGATGTTGCTGCGAACCAGCTCGTCCTTCAAGTGTGAGGGCAGGGCAACGGGTGTAGATCTGTATGACCGACAGATGACGGACCGGCTAGATCCGGCCCGAGGCGCATGCCTTGCATGATGAGCTGCCCCGCCTCCGACTCAAGGAGCCACGGCCACAGGCTCGACAATACCGACATCGGCACTAGCACTGCCAAGAGGAGCGGGGCCGGAGGTGACGGCCCAAAGATCCAAGAGCCGCCGGGCCACCGAGGCGAACGCGGACCGCTGCGAACCGACACCGTCAAGCGCGAAGGAGAAGCCCCACCGGGCCACCGGGGGGTGCATGGAGGAGGGGCCTGCCGGGCCACAGGGAGTGAATGGAGGGGGGAGGAGCCGCCCTTATCAACACGTGACTAACAAGTAGTCACTCCGCTGACAATATCATGAGTTAATTCGAGCAGGGTTGGATCTCAAAAAAAATAAATCAACACGTGACTAACGGAGGGCAACTCGGATGGCGAGCTAGCTCGTCTGGCTACGCCACGAGGGCATCCTAATCATCGGGTTGGCTTCGGACGAGGTGCCACTTTTGGAGACGAGTAAAGCATAAGTTGCTAGGGTTTGATCTGGGCGGGGGTTTTGTGGGATAAGATAAGCCAGCATGGTCCACATCCTACATGGTTGCCACGCCCAAACGCTCCTATATCTGCCCAACATATATATTGACATGATATAAGGAATGACAGACAAGGAGGCAGATTTTTGGTCTATGGGGACATCTACACTCTATATGGATTTTTTTTAGTAATTCAATAAAAAATCAAAAATTCCTGAAAGTACTTTTGAAATAAACTTGACCTTTTATTGTAGTCGTGAGAAAAAAAATCCACAAAAAGAAAATCTCCCTTTGACTTCTTTAAAAAATACAATTTTTTGGTCAAAATAGTGTGAATAGTGACCTATAATAGTAAATAAATTTTGTCTTTTTTTTGCTGTGAAGTCAACTTTGGTTTTTTTTGTTAAAATTTATATACTAGTGCAAAAGTAAGTCAAGTTTTTTGTAAAAATAGTTCTTACCTATTTTGATCTTTTATTAAAA